CAACTAAGCCTATGAGTATACTTGTAAACTGAATAAAATTTGAATTTATGTTCCCAAGAATTTTCCAGATATTCGAAACGATTTTTGAGGATAATCGAGGAAAATTTAAATTACTAACTGTCATATTTGACTCAAATTTGAGTTAGTTCTATTGAGAATTCCCTCACTAGGCGGCGTTAGGTGGTAAAATTTTACTTCTAAACGTGCTGTAACTTGACATTTTGACTAGATATTATGTTGCGGTGAACAACTTAGTTCAGATTGTGCATTGATGTGCCATATTGTTTAAAATTATTTGCTTAACTTGGCAACTCGACTAGATAGAAAGTTGCTGTCTTCAGTAAATTTTTATAAGATCTTTTGCTTAGTGAAGAGCTCACGTCAGAATGATCTATATGACCTGGCGGCGCAAGTGTACGATTTGACTTCCAATAACTTGTTTTAACTTGACAGCACAACCAGATAGAAGGTTGCTGTTTTTAGGCAAAGTTATTCCGATTTTCAAAACCTATTGGATGGTGAACAGTTAAGTTAAGAATTTCTTTATCAGGCAACACTAGTGTACCAAAGACTTGCTTCTGCTAAATGCCATCACCTCAAACTGCAAAGGATTCAGAACAAGATCCTGAGATGATCCTGAAGGGTCCTCCACGGACTCGAAATTTTGAGCTCCATCGCCTGGCGGGTCTTCAGACACTGGAGAAGCGAAGAACGCGCCTCCTGGAAACGTTCAGAGATTGCTGTGGGCAAACCAATCCACAGATCATCAGGGATCTGGTACGTTGGGTTAAGTTACTTGTTGTTGTTAGGGTATCATTTTTTTAAATCAATAGAAATATGCATCCTCTTGCTTGCAATGCTGAAAATTAATACAAAATGCTTAACCATTAATCAAAGATGCAGAGTCCTGCAGGCTAAATCAATTGAAATGTAACACGTTAATTAATGTAAACAAAAGTTATTTTACTACTACTGAATTATGTTCATTCTGTCTCGGATAATCGAGGCAGAAGCAGCTCGTAGTTAAGACAACAAATTGTTTAAACATGAGACCTTGTCTAGATAAAAGGCTGCTGCTTTTGACTATTGAATGGTGGGCAGCACAGCTTGGAATTCATTCACCACTAGTGTACTGTTTGACACTTAATTTATAACTTTAGCTCTGTCAATCGATGAGACGGAAGTTTGCTGACTTCGGTCAAGTTTTTCAGATAAACAAGAACTATTAAATAGTTCAGTTGAGAATTCACTCACTATGCGGCGCTAGTGTGCCATTTGTGTTTAAATGGCTTGCTTTAACACGATAGATCAAGAATATGAAAGGTTTTTATTTTCGCTACAGTTGTTTACATTGACAAGATATCAAAAAAGGCGGAATCATATTAGAACCAACCAAGGACGATCTACGGAAGGAAATTGCCAGTGAAGCAGGGAATGAAATACGAAGCGTTAGAGAAAAAGTTTAAGTGATTCCAAAAGAACCAATAAACGACGGCGAAAGAGCAGAATATGGTGAGAGCTTTCCAATGATTACAAAAAAATAAATATCAAAATTAAACTAAATACATGCCAGGGTTGAAAAAAATATTTTCGAACCTGGAAGTGTGTATATATAACCAATATCCATTTGATAACGGTGATGCATACATGCGGGGCTTATTGTGAGTGAAAGTAACCTCGGAATGGGCGTAACTCTCCAGACATTCTGAAATGGGTTGCTGGATCTACAATTGAGCTATCACCTTCTAACTCTCGGACTAAAGCTGTCTACAATGACCATAAATGTGACATTGTAGAGAGAGTTCTTCCATAACTGTCGGCCATTGGGGGTTAGTGGGAATACACACACACAGTTGTTTACATTAACAAGATATTGAATGGTGTACAATACAGTTCACAATTTACTCACCAGGTGGCACCAGTGTGTCATTTGGTTTCAAATTGTTTGTTGTAACTTGACAGCTCGACTAGTTAGAAGATTGATATCTTTGGCAAAGTTGTTCAGATTGACAAGACCTATTGGATGATGGACAGCTCTGTTAATAATTCAGTCACCAGCTGGCACTAGTGTACCATTTCACTTCTGGTTTCTTGCTTTAACTTGACAGCTCCACAAGATATTGTGAATTTAGATTGACATTATCTGCATGTCACTGATGAATTTACTTCTGACATCACTGGTAATATTGCAAAAGAGTGTTGAAAGTACCAACAATATTAAAGTTAAGATTTCTGATAAAGTTGGAAGTGGGTTGGAAAGTCAGTTATGCATCTCCTTAGCGATCATCGATAAACACCAAAATACATCAAGAAACATATGCGTCAATCTATCACCTAACATTACCCAACCGTCCCAAATAGACTAAATTTTCCGGTCATGACCCGTGATTATTCGTTGTATTAATTTTTCAGTTTTTCCTTATTTGATGCATGATTATTCAAATATATTTGTTGATATTCGATTATTTGAACCAATCGAACCATTAACCGACATCCGTAGTATTGTCAACAATCAATACGAAACTAACGATTTTAAATTGGCTTACTACTTGACTAGCCTATTGGTCCCAAGCAAACGATTAACGTATCCCATTCTAGTCGAAATTCTAGTACTACGCAATGTTTGTTTTGATTCGCTATGAAAGTTTGACAGATGAAATGAGGGGTTATTCGTTTTTCCTATGTTTCGAGGGGTGAATCGATTAGCTTGGGACCGAAGATAGTACCAGAGCTGAGCCAAAAAGTTGAGCACGTTTCTTCGGGACCTACTAGTCTTAGAGTTACCTCTATGGTATTGTGCTATTGCGACTGAACATCAGCGTGACATTTCTCGCTGGCATCACTGGTCTTCCTATGTCGACAATGTCGCTAATGACGGTGAAAGTCGCTAGTCTGACTAGCGTGCTTCGGTTTAGTGCTGGCGTCACTATACCTACCAGCCAATCGCGGCCCTACGTCAACCTTCCGTTCGTGCCCCTAAGTAGGCACAGACCCTTATACTTTTTTTGTTATATTGTTTATACCTAACGACTCTTTTGGTCTAGCTGTATATGGTCTAATGACGAATTGCCTAGCAGAGATCGACCTTATTGTAATTCGTCCTAAAGACCCACCACCGAAACAAAACTTCCTCTATCCCCTATTTAAAATTTGACTACTCCCTCGTTTAACCGCTGCTCCCTTTCCCCGGTTGAACGCATCCAGTCACCAAATGGCCAATCAGAACGACTCAGCGACTGAATTCAATTGACTCAGAGCATTTTTTTTCCATACGAAATTTACTCATATTTGGGAAAACCTGTAGTTACTCATTAGCTATGAGTTCTTGCAAGTTTTTCCAAATATGAGTAAATTTCGTATGGAAAGAAAATACTCTAAGTCAATCGAATTCAGTCGCTGAGTCGTTCTGATTGGCCGTGTAGGACTTGAAGAGTCCAAACGTTCTCTTCAACTGCGAAAATCCAATGTGTGCGAAAAAAGATTTTCCCCGGTATCGACAACTTAATCTGAGTTCACTGATTAATATTTATTTCGTTCGTTGCTTGCTCTACCGGTATCCATTCTACATGTCCAGACCACCGTAGCTTGCGTTGCATAAATGCTTCATTATTTCCACGATGATAGCAAACAATGTTATAATCTCGAATGTTATAATCTGACATTTATTTTAAAACACAATTTCTAATAAAAAAAAAACATTCTTTGCTTACTCATGTTCGTGCAATGTTTCCCTCTTATCCCTTTAGTGGGATTAGTCACCTAATTTTTTTATCTTAAACCTTCGATTATCCACATTTTCGGTTCAATGGGGTTGAATGGATGATAGATATTCTCGCTGCTACCGATCGTTCAACCGCTTTCTCCACCCCCACCTTCTCCTTGCTTTCGAACATTGAGAAAATAAAGGCAAAACGCAAAAAGGCAGACCAAAAAAACGATGTCGGAAGGCAGGGTTGCTTCCACTCACTTGCTATAAAAAGATGTTTTTGGGAATTATGAAATCATGAAATAGTATAATGCCCATTAGTACTTGTAAGTTACAAGAAGAGGTCATGAAGTATATGTTTGACACATAAAATCTGTCAATATTGCTTCCAGTGCGTCACAATCAGCGATTTTACGACTCGTGAGCGCTCACTCAGAGTGAACGTTCACGAATCATAAGATCGCCGATTGTGACGCTCTGAAAGCGAAATTGACAGGTTTTATGAGTCATACACATACTTTACACCCTCTTCCTGCTACTTAAAAGTACAACATACCATTATAACATCTACTGATTGCACAATTCCGAAAAACATATCTTTATAGCAAGTGAGTGGAAGCAACCCTGTCGGAAGGAAAGCAGTGTGGAACTACGTAAAACCACCGAACATAGGTAAAAGAACCAGAAGAAAACAGACACCGGGTAGAAAAAACAGCAAACCGCAGAATCCAATCGATTATTAATGTGTATCAGCTTACAACCGCCTTGCCACCTTTCCACCGTAGTGGTGGACGCATGGTCATTGATAGGGATGGGAACTCACCCAGTCCCATCGCCAGGCGATCTGATCTGTATCTGACCAAGTGGGAAACAAGGGAAGCACGTGGTCTCGGGGTTTCTTCTGAACCGAGCGCGGAGGGCAGGTGCGTTGATGAATGAATCAATGGGAAAATTTCGATTCTTCGAATTGATTGAATTACGTGTAGGGAAGACCCGTTTCGGTCCGGAGGGGAAGTGGTTTACCTTGCCTTTCATTCGTTTCAATCGTACTTACAATCCTCTTGCGGTGGATGGGTGTCTTACCGGCACTGGTGGTGTGGTGCGAAATCGAATTCGATACGCGAATACGGGAGCTGGCAGGTTGACCTATTGAAATTAGATCCGACTGTTACGCATTGTTTCAGCGGCTCAGGAATTTCTCACCTTGCTGTTGAGGCTGCATGCTTTGAATACCACAACCCATTTCAAATGGCAGTGAAACTAATCAGGATTGTATTTTCTCATTTCTTTGCAGATGCGGCGCCGATCTAGGATGAAGGTTCTCAAGATCTTGCAGTCATTCTCGCAAGGTAAGTGGAAGTCAACTTTGGAAGTTGAATTTGAATGTTACTAAAAAACATATCCTATTTTCAGGGACATTCATTGCGTTTATACTATCGCTTCTCTACTGTGGACGAAGCTTAGCGGAACCTGGTGTAAGTTGAATGAATAAAGGAAATTTCTAATGCACAGTATTAATTGCCATATTGTTCCCATCGCAGTACCTAGACTTTGACAACCTGCCGGAAACGAACTTCACATGCGCCGGCAAGGTGATCGGTGGTTACTACGCCGATCTGGAAGCGTCGTGTCAGATGTTCCACGTGTGTACCATCGGTCAGGGTGACGAACCGATGGACATCAAATTTCTCTGCCTAAACGGAACCGTGTTCGACCAGGAGACACGTGTATGCGAACGCGTCGACGAAGTCGATTGCACCAAGTCGGAGGGATTCTACTACTTAAATTTGGAACTGTACGGAAACACGATCATCCCGGCACCGGAAGGTAAGTTCTCTCTACTGCCCATTAGCAATTTCCTTTTACTGATAGCTTGTTAAAACATGCAGAGAGCAGCTCGGAGGAGTTCTCCAGTAGTGCTAGCAGTCCGTCTTCCACTTCGACGTCGACTACCACAACGACGACCAGCACAACCACAACCAAAAAGCCAACAACGACAACGCCATCACGTAGATTTATCTTTAACAATAATAAAGGAAGTTCAATCGTGTCCTCCACAACACTGGCCACGCCAACACACTCCTATTCGACTACCACTTCAAAAACACCGGAAGAGGAAGAAGAATACGAATACGACGAGGAAGAGTACGAAGACAGTTCGAAAGACGATTCGGGTCAGAATCGTCCCGTACTACCGACACTAGAAGACGATGGGTCCTTCTCGCCGCAGCAATTCACCCTGCAACAGCAAACCCAAAATAGTCAACCGAAACCGGAAGATCCGACCAAAACCGGTTCCAAGCCGGCGGTATCCTTCCAGCAGCAACATTTCCAAAATGGCGGCACCCTGGCTGTGACCAACTCACATGTAACCGTTACGACGCACACGACCAGTAGTAGTAGTAGCAGTAACGGTAGTAACAGTCCAAGTACCCAAAAGAAAAATGCTCAACAATTCCTAACGCAAAAGCAGAAGCATGCCTTCGAGCACCAACAGCTCCAGCAGCAGCAAGTTCTGCTTCAGCAACAGATGCACGCCAAGCAGCATCAAGAGCTGCAGAAGAAACAGCAGGAAGCTGCGGTCCAGCAGCAACAGAAAGCCATCCAGCAACAGCAGAAACAGGTTCAACAACACGAATCCGAAATCAAGAACCACCAAGCCCAGCTCCTTCTGCACACGCAGAAGATCAACCGCCAACAGCAGAAACCCGCTCCAAACAAATCAACCTATAATCCTTACGAGACCATCAACCCCCAGCAGGAGCAACAATCTCAAAAATCACATCATCAACAACAACACGAGCAACAGCAGCAACAACAGCAAAGTCAAGCACCAAAGAGAATTCCACTACTGGCGGCGGTGAACCCACTGGGACCACCGCAATCGCAGGTGGCTTCGCAACCACCGAGCGCTTCGCAGCTGGCCCCATTCAGACTGAAGGCGCAGGGCTTCAAACTACCCTCCCAACAGCAGCAGCAGGAGGATCGTTTCGAGGGATACCGGAGGCAGCCACCCCCACAGGTAGGTGCAAATATACAGGTAAATCGGTGTTCGAGTTCTATCGCGGTTTCTGGATATTACGCGATTCAACCGTTGCTTTTGTTAGTTTTGCCCTGACTCCAAAATGAGTGGATTAGTTAGCAATTGTTACAAATTTCAAATATTTATTATTTATTATATTATATTTATTTATGGCTCAACCGTAGAGGCAACTCTAAGATTAGAAGGTCCCGATGAAACGTGCTCAACTTTTTGGCTCAGCTCTGGTACTCTCTTCGGTCCCAAGCTGATCGATGCACCCCTCGAAACATAGGAAAATCCACGAACCCCTCATTTTATCTGTCAAATTTCATAGCGAATCAAAACAAACATAGTGTAGTACTAGAATTTCGACTAGAATGGGGTATGTTAATCGATTTGCTTGGGACCAATACGGTAGTCAAGTAGTGAGCCAATGGATCATATCATTCGAGCAGTTTAAAATAACGTTGCCTACCACTCGAACTTTAACGTGAAACAATATTTTGATATTTTTCTTCTACAACCTCGAGAAAATAGAGTCTTATTTGTAATATGCTTGAAAAATCAGGAATTTATTGTTTCATTTCCATCGGTTTTCATAAAAACCACTCAAACGTCAATAGAAAGCACGATTATGCATGTTGTGTTAGTTTTACAACCCGTGAGGCACAAACAATAAAATTAATAATAATTAATAGTGCTGACCTGGGAGGGAGAAGCAGATGGCACACACGGAATTCATTGTATACTTCAGTGTCAACATTTCAAAGGGGCGTAATTGCTTTTGTAAACAATGGCTTCAGACGTCGATTTCTCGCAAATAAACGCTCACTACTCCAAGTTAACAATGCTAGCTAGTACAGTAAACATTGATCTACCTGTTGGTGTCATAATTTTTTATGAGTGAGCTTTTATTCGCGAGAAATCGATGGCTAAAGCCATTGTTTACAAATGAAATTACGCCCCTTTCCGAGGGGGGCGACACATCTTAATCTCAAGTTTAGATAGTCAACAAATCTCACTCTAGCGAATCAATCTTCGAACAATCTTCTTTCATTTGTCACATCTACTTGCATCGCTCATCAATTTTTTGCAGGAAATCTTCAGAATCGTCATCAATCTTCTTTCTATCTACTCAGCGTGCGCGCAGCTAGCCACAGCAAAACACAATCTTTTTTGCATCTTAGATAGAGTCGCCCCCCTCGCCCCTTTCAAATGTTTTTTTTTTTTTTTTTCCTTTGGTTTGTTTTTTCCGTCGATCTTGTTTTCCGTGCTGAGCACCAATGCTACCGACGTGCCAGGAAGGCAGCTCCCACACCTGGACCCTGCCTATCGACCCATCAACTAATGAACCGGGGACCAACGGCTTTACTTCCCATCCGAAGGAAGGCGTGATCAGAGATGTTATGCCTCAGAACATCCCGGCGGCGCCGACTGGGATTGAACCCAGGCCTGCTGGGGTGAGAGGTAATCACGCTTACCACGACACCACCCGCGCCGTTGCCCTTTCAAATGTTGGCACTGACTTGTTCTTCTTGTCATGAAAATTTGTGCCGTTGAAATCAAATCAAAACAGGCTTAGCAAAATAGCGTGTTTTGCTTTGAGCGTGTAGTGATTGTTTGAGATTCTTCAGTGTGCAGTGAGAAACTGTACTTTTCTGTGTGGTATTTTACCAAGCCACTAGATGTTTTGACAAAACCTTGGCTAATTGTATCTTTCAATTTATTGATTTGTGTGTTTTTCGAATGAATTAAAAAGAAACGGTGTCCCATTGCATAAAATAGCTGGAAACTACAGTTTGTCACAAATTACTTTACGCAAGATTTCAATACCGCCTTGTGCATTCTTGTTCAACTGTAAGAAAAGCATCATAAAATTGCTTGGCTCCAAATGACAGTTCGTGACCCCTCGTACCATTTGACGTTCCATTTTTCTCTCTTCGCGACTCTCCCTCAGGTGCCGACATATAAAGAAATGAACTGATTGGTAATTTTTACGACGTTGGATTTTGGAAGGCAAAACTCAAGAGGCATAAACTCATGCATGAGATTTGAGTTTTTGAGTTTTTCCGAACACTGCAATGGACATTCAATTCGCAGTTCTATCAAAAATCAATACGAAACTAACGATTTTAAATTGGCTCACTACTTGACTAGCCTATTGGTCCCAAGCAAACGATTAACGTACCCCATTCTAGTCGAAATTCTAGTACTACGCAATGTTTGTTTTGATTCGCTATGAACGTTTGACAGATAAAATGAGGGGTTATTGATATTTCCTATGTTTCGAGGGGTGAATCGATTAGCTTGGGACCGAAGAGAGTAACAGAGCTGAGCCAAAAAGTTGAGCACGTTATTTCGGGACCTTCTAGTCTTAGAGTTACCTCTATGGTTCTATCAACAATCAATACGAAACTATCGATTTTAAATTGGCTCACTACTTGACTAGTCTATTGGTCCCAAGCAAATCGATAACCGTACCCCACTCTAGTATAAATTCCAGTACCACACTATGTTTGTTATGATTCGCTATGAAAGTTTGACAGATAAAATGAGGGGTTAGTGGATTTTTCTATGTTTCGAGGGGTGAATCGATTAGCTTGGGACCGAAGAGAGTACCAGCAACCAGTGGAAACTAACGATTTTAAATTGGCTCACTACTTGACTAGCCTATTGGTCCCAAGCAAATCGATTAACATACCCCATTCTAGTCAAAATTCTAGTACTACACAATGTTTGTTTTCATTCGCTATGAAAGTTTGACAGATAAAATGAGGGGTTAGTTGATTTTCCTATGTTTCGAGGGATGAATCGATTAGCTTGGGACCGATCATAGTACCAGAGCTGAGCCAAAAAGTTGAGCACGTTTCTTCTGGACCTACTAGTATTAGAGTTACCTCTATGGTACCAGAGCTAAGCCAAAAAGTTGAGCTCGTTTCTTCGGGACCTTCTGGTCTTAGAGTTACCTCTATGCTAGAAGGTCCCGAAGAAACGTGCTCAACTTTTTGGCTCAGCTCTGGTACTCTCTTCGGTCCCAAGCTGATCGATGCACCCCTCGAAACATAGGAAAATTCACTAACCCCTCATTTTATCTGTCAAACATTCATAGATAATCAAAACAAACATAGTATAGTACTAGAATTTCTACTAGAATGGGGTACGTTAATCGTTTGCTTGGGACCAATAGGCTAGTCAAGTAGTGAGCCAATTTAAAATCGTGAATTTCCACCGGTTGATATTTCTGTACTCCCATCTTCAATATTATTGTCAATAATTTCACTTCGCGTGAATATATTGATACGTGTGGGGTTCGCTGAACAGCAAATTCATAACAAAGATTCTTTCTAATGATCAATCTAAACTTACCTCCCATTCCCATTCTCCGTTTCAGGTCTCCTTGCATCTGCCCTTTGAACAACTCCGCCACCAGAAGGACATCTCCCTGCAGTTCGATCCGGAGGAAGAAGACCTAACGCAAATACCGGATCGCAAAGAGCTCAAACGGTCCGATCCACCATTCCACAGTTCAATTCACGGCAACAACACGCCGCCCCCGGCCACACTGAAGACATCCGTGTTCGCTACGCGGCCATCGTTAACAGCGCAGCCCACCGGTAGAAGTGAGCCCAAACAGCCGGAGCTAGAGTCCGTCAGCTACCCGGACGATCCGGTCGAGTACTACGACGAAGATTACAGCGCCGAGCCGTCCAACGGCAATCCTAGATTAGATAGCGTTAAGTCAAACTCCAATAGCGGTACGGTGGTGGCCCACAAACGCTCCGGAGAGGACCAGCTGGGTGATCCCAGGGTCCACACCGGCAGCCTTCCGGCCACCCAAGCAAGCAGAACTAGTAGTAGTAGTGGTAGCAATAGCTCTAAGTCTAAGAACACTAGTAGATTTATCATTAACAATGAACACCACAAAAGTCCAACCAATCCGTACAACAGCAACCGAAGTCGTACCGGTCGGGTGTACGATGGTCGGTCGTCCGTCGCTGGGGGGACATCTGCTCCTCCCAAAGTCCGTGCCAGCTATCAACCGCAGCCAAAGGTGATCGTGACCACCAGTACCTCGATCCGGGACAACAGCGGACGGACGATCAACTATTCCATCAGCAGCAATTCGTCCCCTTCGACGACAGCTGCCAGTCACGTGGCTTCCAATGCCAAATATTCCGAGGCCCTGACACGGGGCTACGACGAGTACAAAGAGGACGACGTCCTGTCGGATCCGTTCTTCCTCGATGTACCGAAGGTGGGCAGCGGAAGCGGACGGAGAAAGCGCGACGCATCCTCCCAGCGGAAACGAAGGAAACGGTTCTTGTACATTGTTCCTCGATTTATGTAACTAAAACCACAGTAGAATGCATATGTAAACATCTCGCCCTCCCCGATACAAAGAAACGAAAACTAAAAACTCTTCTTATTTTATTTGAACAAAACACGAAAAAATATTGACTCTAGTTGTAATGTAGGAAAAAGTATTTGCGTTATAATATGTTCTATGTAAATATCACTAACCTTTCAAAAAACACCCAAGCGATATGAAACAATACTCATTTTATATAAATATACAAACAATGAAACAATTCTTGTCTTTTATAAAAAAAAAACTTCAAATGTGTACATTGATCATGGAAATTTTTAAAATGTGCAAGGTGAGCAATTTTTGTTTGGAAATATTGGTTTAACGTTAATGTTTGTAATTATCCTTCTCTAATTTAGCTAATTTAATTCTTTCCCTAGCACCTTAAGCTTGTAAGTCTTGTACAGTGAATATGGAAATAAGAAAATTCTTTTAAGTTCTGTAAGAGACAAACAACGTATGTAAAAGCAACAATGTGTATGAACAAGTTATGGACTTTTGACGGTGAACTCAAGCAAACAGGAACATCAGGAAATGGTTTATAAAGCAACGAATTAATTAAATGTACGTGTAAAATTCTTCTAAGCGGTTGACGAAACAATTTAAGTTCGGTTGTTAAGAGGAAATAAATTTGAAACGGAAATGCCAATCTCTAAAAATGAACAAAAATGCTATGCCTTTGTTTTAGTTGATTTGATGACGGAGTAAAACTAATTCCATCGAGTAGAGGGTGTCTTCCTAGTGGTTCTTCCTATAGTCGCTATATTCATAGTCTGGTGGATAGAATCTCGGGAACCAATTGAGTTACCAAATAGCGGAACCAATCGAGCAAATCACGACCAACAACAGAACAGAGTACATCAGTTATTGCGAACAAAACTTCTGAACCCCTTTTCTCGTGACTCAAGACTCGCCTACGCAAATTAATACCATCTTTGGGTTTGGGAAAGTTTCCCCTATTCGATGATGCTGGAAATTTGCGTTCGATTGGCGAGGAAAGAATAACGAACGATTTGTTTTTAAAAGTTGATAGTACCTTTTCAATTGTTGTTCTAAAATATATTAAATTGGTTCCGCTTTTTGATGCATCGGAATTCTATCCGCCAGACTATGAATATAGCGACTATAGTTCTTCCTGGTATCAGCTGGATGGTGGTGTTTGTATGGTAAAGTTTTTCTGATCTTATTGCCCGTCTGACCAACTCTATAGTTGTCATTACAACCATGAAGCATTCCGTCGGGGTTAACCTCAATCTGATGACAGTTCAGTGGTACTGTTTACGTGGACTTAGTTGATTTTTTCTTGGGTAAATTTTCTCGATAATTTTTTAGACTTCAGTGAGAAGTAAACCACATGTATGCATTGTCCCCGAGCAACATCCTTTCACCGCGCTGTTCCTCGACATTGCAAGTTAAAATTCGGAAATTTTAGAATATATTTTTTTCGAAAAAACGACGAAGTGCTTGTAAACAGTACCACTGAACTGTCAATAAGGTTCAGACGATTAAGTTCATTCGTGACGTCACGCTGCAGAACCTAATACCCGATGTACGGCCCCCGAGTAGCACACTTTCATCACAATAAGTTACAGCAACTTGTTTATGACTGAAATAAGTCGTATATAAGTTTCTACAATTGATTTGTGACAAGTGTGCTACAAGGGCTATAAGCTCAGAATCATTTTGTTAAAGGTGTGTAAGCTCTGGTAGTGCTGAATTGAATTTGGTTGGCGCGACGTCACGCTGCACGTCACGCTGGACGAATTAGGTAGTGCAGCGTGATGTCACAAATGAACTCAGCGTTAATCGGCTGAACCTTTTTGATAGTTCAGTGGTACCAACCGGTGGAAACTAACGATTTTTAATTAGCTCACTACTTGACTTGGCTATTGGTCCCAAGCAAATCGACTAACGTCCCCCATTCTAGTCAAAATTCTAGTACTACACTATGATTGTTTTGATTTGCTATGAAAGTTTGACAGATAAAATGAGGGGTTCGTGGATTTTCCTATGTTTCGAGGGGTGCATCGATCAGCTTGGGACCGAAGATAGCACCTGAGCTGAGCCGTTTCTTCGGGACCTACTAGGCTTAGAGTTACCTCTATTGTGGTACTATTTACAAGCACTTAGAAGTTTTTTCAAAAACAATAATTTTAAAATTCAAGACCAACAATTGAAATGGCCTTAACTCCATTTTGCAAACAAACCTTGTAAGGCCATTTTCTCGCGAACCGAAGTTCACAAAGGCAAACCAACATAATGAACAGGTAGGGGAAATTCTCCTCTACCCGTTTGTGGTTTAGGTTTGCGAATGAAGGTTTCGGTTCGCGAGAAAATGGCCTTACAAGGTTTGTTTACAAAATGGAGTTAAGGCCATTTCAATTGTTGGTCTTGAATTTCCCAAATCTAGAGTAACATTTTAAATGGGCCTATGTCCAAAACGGCTGATCAACGAAATTTTTCGATTCATTATTAGGCCCGCACGCTAAAACGGCCAACCATTCATTTATTTCATTTCATTGATAAGCCTAGTGACGTAGAAGGGCCGATGATTGAAAAATTTCAAACCAAAGCTAGGCCCTACTGCTTGAGGCAGGGCCGATGATTTGTTTTGAATTTATTTGACGTTGTGAAAAGGCGTAGCAAAGGGCGTTCCATTTCTGATGACAAGCACAACGGCTTAACAAAAAGGGCCTATCTATTGAAAGATTCACAAAAAGGCTTATTAATGTATGAAATTAAATTGTTATCGATTTTCATATATTTTTGAAAGCTTTTCGCATATTTTGGATGTTGTATACTGAGATACAGTTACTATTGTTATTGTGAACAATATTAATGCCTAAAATACTTCAATTTTCTTAAATATGAATTGAATAGTGGCGGAAAAATTTAAAATTCATTTTCTGGTTTGTTTACGTTTTGGACATATGCCCATTTCAAATGTTACTCTAGAAATTTATTTTTAAAATTGTCGATGCGCGGTGAACGGATGTTGCTCACGGCCATTGCAGAAGTGTGGTTTACACCTCACTGCAGTCTGAAAAATTATCGAAAAAATCCACCCAAAAAAATGGGATGATGTAAATGTTCATTATTAATGAACATTGCCCCGCTTTCCTGTCTAATTTCCACTGGGGGGTGTTCAAGGCAGGGCTGGAAAATTTCATTTTCAATGAAAGATCTCACGCGATATTTACAAAGATACTGCTGTCACTATCATCGGATGAGAAAACGATGATAGAGATTTGCTTCAAAATCTCATCGAATTTTTCGTCATGACAAAATGTGACAGTGTTGTGATCATCGTAATTACTAGCTCATTTATTTGCTTTTAAAGTTTCTTGTACCGAGAACATCGTAATAATATATTGACTCTACCGATTACATACGGTTACTTGCTTGAATTAATCTAAATCAGTTAGAAATGTAGATGCAAAAACCGCAATAGAATTATTCTCATGAGTGCTTGATCATTGGAAAATGACAAGAAAACTAATGATAGGTAGTTTCGTCTCGTGATAGTGAGAGGACCTGTTTTCTCATTCTCACATGACGGCCGTGATATTTACCAGCTCTGGTTGGAGGTGACTTTTGACTGTCAAATAACTAAGAGGTCAAATACGAACAATCGTTACCTGCCTCGCATAACTATAGTCGCTATATTCATAGTCTGGCGGATAGAATTTCGATCTATCAAAAAGCGGAACCAATACAATATATTTTAGACCAACAATTGAAAAGGTACTATCAAATTTATAAACAAAACGTTGATTATTCTTTCCTCGCCAATCGAACGCAAACCGGCATTATCGGATAGGGTAAACTTTCCCCAACCCAAAGATTGCGAGCCTTGAGCCACGAGAAAAGGGTTCCCGAAGTTTTGTTCGCAATAGCTTATGTGCTCTTTTCTGTTGTTGGTCAATATTTGCTCGATTGGATCCGCTATTTGACAGCTCAATTGGTTCCCGAGATTCTATCCGCCAGACTATGAATATAGCGACATATCATCTATCTAGATAAAAAAATTCTCTGGTTTTGACAGATGGGATCACCACCGACAAACCAACATGAAACTTAAACTTAACTCTTGATCGAGAATCCATAACGGCCGATTCAAATGTGCAGCGAACCCATCTGTCAAAACTATAGAAATGTTTTATCTAGATAAAAATAATTTATCCGAAATAGATTGGACACGAACCAACTCATAAATTTTGTACGCGTGTTCGTGGCTAGGATAAATATTTTCAGATGTGTTGGCAGATGTCATTTTTGTGCTTTGATCAGAAATTTCTTTGTAATTTGTATGATCATTCATGTCGGTTTGTAGGTGGGATCGCTGCACATTTGAATCGGCCGTTATGGATCAAGAGTTAAGTTTAAGTTTCATGTCGGTGATGAAACCATAGAGGTAACTCTAAGACTAGAAGGTCCCGAAATAACGTGCTCAACTTTTTGGCTCAGCTCTGGTACTCTCTTCGGTCCCATGAAACCCCGTGCCAAAACGAACAGTTTTGGTGCCAAAATCGAACTTCATGGTAAATATTTATTTAGGGTAATTTGCCAATTGTAGGACACTTCACATTGTTTACTGTGCAGTATTTACATAGAAGTTACTCTAACACCAGAAGGTCCCGAAGAAATGAGTTCAGCTTTTTGGCTCAGCTCTGGTATTATCTTCGGTCCGAAGCTAATCGATTCACCCCTCGAAACATAAGAAAATCTACTAACCCCTCATTGTATCTGTCAAACTTTCATATACACTGAAGTTTTTTTTTACGCGGTTTTTTTTATACGGTTAGTGCCGCTGAGTCGCAATTTACGCGGTACGTTTTTAACGATTTCCCGACAACGATACAACCTATCAACTTGATTCCAATCACATTATCCGTTTCAACCTATAGGTAATCGAATGGCATACTTTTGAAAAAATCACAATTTTTGGTGTAAATACAGAAATTTTTAAAATATGTCTATATGGACCATGTGTCTATAATACCATAATAGACCATATGTCTATAATTCTGAATGGCATCAAAATCCGATTTATAAAAAATATTTAAGCATGTGAAAAATCAAAATCTCGGTAGTTTTTTTTACGCGGCAAATATCCCCCGCGTAAAAAGCGACTCCAGTGTATAGCGAATCCTAAGAGAAGAGGTGACAATACGGGGGCAAAAATGAACCACTTTTCTGTCAAACGTGAACCAGCTCGTGATTGGTTGATTTGATGTGCGTAAGATAGAGATCAGCGTTGCCAGATATACCGATTTATCGGTATTTATACCGATTTCCGAACTACCCAACAAACAATTTGAGTTGATTAACAGCTGAAAAGGCCATTTTTTAGCTGAAGAAGCTTATTTTTGCCTGAATAAGCTCTTATTCAACATTCAATGTTTGTTGGGTAGATACCGAAATACAGATAAGGTTCCACAGAATACCGATTTTTCAGATTTTATACCGATTTATAGTATTTTTTTTTTTAATAATCAAAATCAAAATTTTTGTGAGAGACTTGTATCTTACTCATATTATTTTAGTCTTCAAAT